TTTGGTAAATTTCGGTTGGTGTGTAATATATATACCATGGTATTCGGTTATTAGTAATTTATCCCACTTGTAGTCGGAACTCGGAATAGTATTCCAACATTTGCAATATATTTGAGGTTCGGTGAAAATACTAAACAACCAGAAATGATATATAGATATATCTTCAATCAATAAGTTATGGTGCATGCAAATTAGAAGGCTCATTGGAATTAATTTGCTGGAAAACATATATCAAGCATTATACGAGTGAATTGCATTTAGCACCCCTCTGAAAATCGGAATAAGCTTAGCATTATACAAAACGAAAGGAGTGACTATTTCCAAGATCCCACATAGAATGTTTTTTGTTTCAAATTATTGGTGAATTTCCATGGTGTATTTTTATAATTTTCTGAATTGTGCATTTATTATTTTTAATTAAGAAATGAAAATTAAAGAAAGTACTGGCTCGGCAATTTTACAATAACTAGTAAAGTAGAAAAACAAACGACACTTCAAAGTTGGGATACACAAGTAGCACTCTTCCCTCGAATTACATCACACAGCAACATCAATTATTGAAGACAAACATATTTGAAACTTTGGAATAAACGATAATTATTTAACCAGAGATGTCAATCGCCTTGACCTCAGGTTTCTTCACCTCCTCCTTGGGCACGGTGACAGTCAGCACCCCATTCTCCATCGCCGCCTTCACCTCCTCCAATTTAGCATTCTCCGGCAGCCTGAATCGCCGGATGAACTTTCCGGAGCTCCTCTCGACACGGTGCCACTTGTCGTTCTTCTCCTCTTTCTCTTTGCTTCTCTCTCCGCTTATCTGAAGAATATTCCCATCTTCAACCTCAACCTTCACTTCTTCCTTCTTCAACCCGGGAACATCCACTTTAAACAAGTGTGCCTCCGGCGTCTCTTTCCAGTCGATCCGGGCGTTGGCCACCGCGGTTGTTTCTCCGGCGGTGGAGAACGGAAAGCCCTGAAATGGATCCCAAATATCCAACGAAAACGGATCGAAGACGTTGCTCCGGCGGCCATTGCCAAAGAAGCTCGGAATCAAAGACATTTTCTCTCTCTGCAGATTAATTTACTTGATCAATGTAAAGAAGATTTTTCTAACTTGTAATTAGTGATGAAAAGAATCGCGAATATTTCTTGTGGAATTGAATTGAAGGTTGAAGGAGCACGCTTGTTTAATTTATACAGGTGAGAAGACGATTCTCGCCCTTTCATGAAATTCTAAACTCAAACCAATTTCTCTACTATTCCAACATGTTCCAGAAAATTCGTTCATTCTCTCTCACTGGGCTAATGCTATGGGCGCACCCGTTTACTTTCTTTTAACTTTTTGTTTTTTAATTAATATTAAATATTAAAGAGGAGCATACTTTTCCTATAGGACTAAAATATGGGGTTATAACTCACATATTCAATTGGGTACCATAGTTTAGTTATTTTTGGTATAATACCGGGGTATATATTACGACAGAGTTTGAAAGAATATACCGTCAATAAAGATATATATAATACTAGTATTCACTTGTGCGATGCACGGGGAGGCATATTTTAAACTGGAAAAACATGTATGAAAAACAAATTTACGCAGATATCAATTATTACAGTCATTGAATTTAAGTACAAAACGTCATCGACCAACAATAATAAAAATATGTTATAAGTGGCATGTTCTTCATAGTTACAATATAAGAATAATATTAAATATTAGTATATCGTCAAAAATAAATCTTAAAGATAATAAGATTTGTACTGAGCATCCTAGGGACATGACTGAAAATAACATCGCACCGGGGAAAATATATAGAGAAGAAACACCTGCCAAATAATAAGTTGTTAAAAAAAACATGTTACATGAATAACTGATAAATATGAAATTATTTTCTACCTTCAAATTCGATGAAATACTTCCTTGTACACGATATTTCTAGTAACATTGGTCAGTTCACTCGAATCCGACTTGATGAATATCTTAATGCCACCTCTGCTCTTAACTCTGCACAGTGCAACATATAGTTGACCATGGCTGAAAACAGTCCTAGGAAGATACAAACAACATGTGAAAGAGTTTGGCCTTGGCTTTTATTGATAGTCATTGCAAAAGAAACAATCAACGGCAATTGTCTTCTCTGAAGTTTAACTGGCAGTCCGGAGTTAGATGGTATTAAAGTCATCCAAGGAATGAACACCATGTCACCGATATTTTTCCAGAAAGAATTTTGCAACTCAGAACGTGAATGTCGGTTCTAATAATTTGAAGTCTAGTCCCGTTACACAATCCTCTAGCTTGATCGATGTTTCTTATTAGCATAACGGATGCACCAACCTTGAACTTCAACGCATGAGAAGGAACTCTGGAGCATCTTATTGTGTTGAGGAATTCAGTCGAATAGATTTCTGCATTATTCTCCGTTGTTTGCTCGTCCCTACACATACTATCTGAGCTCAGGTATACCTTCTTCTCTCCTAGAAGGAGAGACATTAAGTGATTGTCCATAGGGTCTAATACAAATAAGCACATCATAAGCTACTTATTCAAAAATGGGTTCGGACAACAAAATATTTTACAAAAAAATTCAGTCAATGTCCAGAGGTGTGTAAAAGACCAAAATACCCCCTCACATTTTAATATACTCCAATTTCATCAATTTAAACTCAATTTGACCTCAAATTTCACCAATTATTTAATTTTGACCCCTAACCCAATTTTGACTACAATTTCGCCTGTCGCCACCGATATCCAGCGTTGAATTTTTTTTTTGTCTGCTTTTTTTTCTACCGATTTCCGGCGTTGTCCGACAGTTCCCGGTGGCGTTGACTTTTTTATTTTTACTTTTTGAAAAAAAAATTTGTTCACTTTTGGCCGGTTTTAACAGTAATATTGTTGTAGGTGACAATCATATTAACTATATTACTGTTTAACACAATAATATTAACTATATTATTGTTTAACATAGTCATATTGATATATTACTCTCTAGCACAGTAATATTAACACAACAAAAATCATTATTATTGTACAGTAACATTAATATGTTGACCGGTCAACAAATACAAACATACTAAAAAGAAAAAAAAATTAATAATAATGTGGTTGACAATAATATTACTGTCAACCACAGTACTATTATTGTATCGACAATAATATTACCGTGAACCACAGTGATATAATTGTGTTTACAGTAATGTTACTATAGTACACAATAATATTATTACGTTAATCGGTTAACAAATCAAACAAAATAAAAAGGCAAAAAAAGTTAATATTGATGTGGTTGAGAATAATACTATTGTATTTACAGAGTAATTTTACAGTCAACGACATTAATATTATTACGTTGACTGGTCAACAAATCAAACAAAATAAAAAAACCAAAAAAATAATAATATTGATGTGGTTGACAGTAATATTATCGTGTTTACAGTAATTTTACCGTCAACAACAATACAATTACTGTCAACACGCCACATCAACAAGACGAACTATTTTTAACGGAAGAGTTGCTTTGATTCATTTTGAAGGTCGGGGGTTATATGTTCGGTATAGTTCAAGTAGACAAAATGAACTTTACCCTATAAGATATAAAGAAACAACAGGACAAACGTAAATACATTTATTTGAAAAAAATATAAGAAAACTTAAATATGATGAGATAAAAAGTAATAAAGTTATTATTATTGCTATAGTATTACCGTAGTAATGAAAATACATTACCATATATCGTACCAATTAAATGCACTACGATACCAATACCGTACTAAAGGGAAGCTACATGTTACAACTAGTTATTTATACCTGGAGCGGAACCAACAAATTTAGTTTGGGGGGGGGGGGGTTGTTGGGATATTCGCATAAGTCATCACACAATTAGTATATATTTTTATAAATTAATTGAATCAAAGAATTATATAAAATAAATAGTATGTCAGAAATATATAATCATCAGAACTTAAAATTACAACAAATAGAAAATGTAAGTTTATTAAATAAACATGTAAGATTGCCGAAAATAACAATTTGTTTGAAATATTTTTAAATTTGATAAAAGGCAAACCTAAAATATTGGAAATTACATAATTGAATAAATACAATATTTTTACTTTTTTATGTTTTTTTTAATTGTGAACATTAATAAATATTAGAAATTTAGATTTTATTAAAATATTTTAGAGAATTGTAAAATTACATTAAAATGGTAGAATAAAATCTTACTTTTTGGTGGGGCCAACATAATAATATTAAAAAACAAAACTTCAAATGCATTATTTCTTTTATTTTTTCACATATAAATAAGTACTATTAAAAAACAATTCTTGGAGGGACAATAGCCCCCAACCCCTATGAAGTTCCGTCAGTGTTTATACCTGAGGGATTTGAACTGTGAATTTGATTAAATACCCACTAACACATATACACATAGGTGTGTGTGTGTGTGTGTGTGATTATGTTTAGATTTTCGGTTCAAATTCATCAAGTGTAAATAACCAAGTGTAGCATCTAATTTTCATTCAATACGGTATTGGTAACCTATACTTCCATATTTTTTTGGTAAATTTCGGTTGGAGTGTAATATATATACCATGGTATTCCGTAATTAGTAATTTCTTTCCACCTGTAGTCAGAACTCGGAACAGAATTCTAACATTTGCAATATATATTGAGGTTCGATGAAAATACTAAACAACCAGAAATGGTATATAGTTAGATCTTCAATCAATAAGTTATGGTGCATGCAAATTAGAAGGCTCATTGAAATTAATTTGCTGGAAAACATATATCAAGCATTATACGAGTGAATTGCATTTAGCACCCCTCTGAAAATCGCCATAAGCTTAGCATTATACAAAACGAAAGGAGTGACTATTTCCAAGATCCCACATAGAATGTTTTTTGTTTCAAATTATTGGTGAATTTCCATGGTGTATTTTTATAATTTTCTGAATTGTGCATTTATTATTTTTAATTAAGAAATGAAAATTAAAGAAAGTACTGGCTCGGCAATTTTACAATAACTAGTAAAGTAGAAAAACAAACGACACTTCAAAGTTGGGATACACAAGTAGCACTCTTCCCTCGAATTACATCACACAGCAACATCAATTATTGAAGACAAACATATTTGAAACTTTGGAATAAACGATAATTATTTAACCAGAGATGTCAATCGCCTTGACCTCAGGTTTCTTCACCTCCTCCTTGGGCACGGTGACAGTCAGCACCCCATTCTCCATCGCCGCCTTCACCTCCTCCAATTTAGCATTCTCCGGCAGCCTGAATCGCCGGATGAACTTTCCGGAGCTCCTCTCGACACGGTGCCACTTGTCGTTCTTCTCCTCTTTCTCTTTGCTTCTCTCTCCGCTTATCTGAAGAATATTCCCATCTTCAACCTCAACCTTCACTTCTTCCTTCTTCAACCCGGGAACATCCACTTTAAACAAGTGTGCCTCCGGCGTCTCTTTCCAGTCGATCCGGGCGTTGGCCACCGCGGTTGTTTCTCCGGCGGTGGAGAACGGAAAGCCCTGAAATGGATCCCAAATATCCAACGAAAACGGATCGAAGACGTTGCTCCGGCGGCCATTGTCTCCAAAGAAGCTTGGAATCAAAGACATTTTCTGTATCTCGATCAACGTGAAGGAGCACGCTTGTTTAATTTATACAGGTGGGAAGACGATTCTCGCCCTTTCATGAAATTCTAAACTCAAACCAATTTCGCTAATCTTCCAACATCTTCCAGATAATTCGTTTACCTTCTCACTGGGCTAATATATGCTATGGGCGCCACCCGTTTGCTTTCTTTTAACTTTTTGTTTTTTAATTAATATTATATATTAAAAAGGAGCATACTTTTTCCTATAGGACTAGAATATGGGGTAATAACTGACATATTCAGTTTGGTAAATTTTATTTTTGCACCCCTTAACTATTCGAAATGTATAATTTATCCCCTAATGTATAGAAAACATCAAAGGCCATCCTATTTTTTAAGGTCAACGATGCAGCTCGACATATGTATCGATTGTAATCAAATACCGTTTAATATTGCTCGATATCGCGGTACGATACAATATCCGATACAGTACGATAATAACGATCTTTGTTTTGAGGTTGATTTAGGGTAATTGGCACTTTGCACCCTCGAATTACATAGCATTGGCACTTTGCACTCTTAAATTGAAAAATTGGCGGAATGCACCCTTCAATTATAATGACCGGTTATAGAAAAATGACCGGTTACCTGTTATAGAAAAATGACCGGTTATATTTCGATTCGGAAATCGGAATATAATTTTTGCAAGAATGGAAACATAGCACGAGAAAAGGGGGAGGACAATCAAAGATACATTAAATTATACGTGAGAAAATGAGAAGGTTAGAGAAAGAACATGGGTAAATTGATGAACCGGATTATTAGATGATGAACTACCGTAAATTTTTTAAAAAAGTAGAACAAAAATATTTACCGTTCTTAAAATTCCACAAACATGTAAGAAGTCATATTTTTAGCCAAAAGGTGAATGAGGGTGTAAAGTGCCAAAGAAATTGTAATTGAAGGGTGCATTCTGCTAATTTTTCAATTTAAGGGTGCAAAGTGCCAATGACCTGTAATTTGAGGGTGCAAAGTGCCAATTACCTGTTGATTTATGCGATTATAAGCTTTTCAACATTTTTTTAAATAGTCGTTTTTTTTTTATAACTAAGGCAAAACCAAAAAAAATGCTTCAGATAAAGCAATTTATATTAGCAAGTGTGATAAAACCGACACTAGCATTTCTAAAAACTATGACTTTTGTCCATAATTTAATGTTAAACTTGAATTTAGATCTATTTTGAATGAACAGTTTGATTTTGACATATTAATTTTTACATGTTTACCATATTATTATGTGATATATATTTTGTACTATTTTTAATAGTTAGTCAAATATTTTACAGTAAATGATACGGTACGATATGTGGAGGAAAACGATACAACTATATTTTCCGATATGATAACCATGATCGACACTATCAAGAACTCTTTTTTAACATGCATGGTCCATTGTCGGAATTACGGGTGACATTTTAGAAACACCGAAGTTTTTGACAATTACCATTTAAGAACAATAGCTTATCATAGTTGAAAGTTTGATACCATAGTTTCAAGAAATGAGGTATACCATAGTTTAGTATATCGTTACTTTTGGTACGATACCGTGGTATATATTACCATAAAGTTTGAAAAAAATATCCTGTCAATTATTTTCCAACAATGAATTTCGTAATATATAAATTTATATTGTTTGAATGTGTTTATACATATATTGAACTAAACGTTCTAATTAAATTTATGATGCCATGTAGCCTGTAGGCTATAGCGCAACTTTATTCCTATGTATATATAGATATATATAATTAAATAAGCACGTTATGGGCTATTTATTTAAAAAGAGGTTCAGACAAAAAAAAACTTTACAAAAAAAATGCAGACAATGTTCAGAGGTGTGTAAAAGACCAAAATACCCATCACATTTTAATTTATTCCAATTTCATCATTTAATTCAATTTGACCACAAATTTCATCAATTATTCAATTTTGACCCCTAACCCAATTTTGCATGTCACCGCCGGTATCCAGCAGTGATTTTTTTTTTTTCTGTCTACTTTTTTCTGCCGATTTCCGGCGTTGACTGACGGTAACGCCGGTCCCCGGCGGCGTTGACAATTTTTATTTTTTATTCTTTGAAAAACATTTCTTCACTTTTGACCAGTTTAAACAGTAATATGGTTATGGTTGACAGTAATAATAATTGTATTACTGTTTAACACAATAATATTAACTATATTACTGTTTAACACAGTCATATTGATATATTACTCTCTTTCACAATAATATTAACACAACAAAAATCACTATTATCGTAGAGTAATATTAATATGTTGACTCTTCAACAAATGCAAACATAATAAAAGATAAAATAATTAATATTGATGTGGCTACCAATAATATTACTATCAACCACAGTACTATTACTGTAACAACAATAATACTACCGTCAACCACAGTAATATTATTGTGTTTACAGTAATATTACTATAGTACACAATACTATTATTACGTTAATCGGTTAACAAATCAAACAAAATAAAAAGGCAAAAAAATTTAATATTGATGTGGTTGAGAGTAATATTATTGTGTTTACAGTAGTTTTATTGTCAACGACAGTAATATTATTGCGTTCACTGGTCAACAAATTAAACAAACTAAAAAAGCCAACAAAAATAATAATATTGATGTGTTTTTTAGTAATATTATTTTGTTTACAGTAATTTTACCGTCAACGACAGTACAATTATTGTCTGTTCACAGTACAATTACTGCACGAACGGTACAATTACTGCCAATGACAGTACAATCACGATCAACGTTCAGCGGTGCGCAAAAAAATTGGATAAAAATTTAGGAAAAAAATATCAATGTCGGAGACCAGCGCTGACCGTCGGTCAACTCCGGGAACCGACAACGTAAAAATAGAAGAAACAAATTTCTAAAAAAATCAACGCCGGAAATCGGCAGCCGAAAAAGCAGACAGAAAAGAAAAAAAAAAGTTAAAATTGGAATTTTTTTGTTAAAATTGATGAAATTGGGGTTACAATTAGGAGTTGGGTTTGAAAGGTTGCGAGTAATTTCGTCATATACATTAATTTTGCATTTATTTATAATACATATTAAACAGATGGGCATATTGGCGAAAAATGTATTGCCCCTGAATTTAGAATAATAAAGATGGTTAATCGAGGATTATACCCATAAAATGAGGGGTTTTTTTCGGCTTAATCCCACTGTGCACCCTTAAAATATGCCATTTTGGCACTTTACACCCTCTGAACAAATTAATAGCACTTTGCACCCTCGAAACACAATATATCATGCATAATGCACCCCAAATGATTTTTTAAAGCTAATAAAGGTAATATAATATTTTAAGTGGTATTTTTTAGGATGAAAAATGTCAAACTTTTCTTTTATTCATCAATTATATTGAAATTATAAGTGCAAGACTAAAAATACATCTCATCAACATATTTAAAAATTATATATTTTTTATAAGAAAAAAAATATTTTACGAAAAAAAAAAATCATTCATACATTTCGTTATCAAGTTATCTGAAAATCACATTTATTCCAAATATTATTACCTAATATTTCCAACAGTTGCAATAAAAGATCCATCAATCGAATAATTTAGTCATAAAATTTACTTTATTTTATTTGTAAGAAAATATAATTGTTTTTAATTATCCGGTGTAACTTTTATTTTTTCGCACTTTGTGCGCTCGAAATTAGGTTGGAGATTGAAGAAAATAAAAATTTAATATGTTATTTTCTATTCCAGGAAAAAAGACCAATAAAAAATCAAATTCCCATTATTATTAAATTCAGGGTGCATTGTGAATGATTTATTGTGTATTTAGGGTGCAAAGTGCTATTATTGTTTTTTAAGGGTGCAAAGTGCTAAGTGCATCTCTAGTCACACCTTCTAAACCCACTTTCCCAATTAATCCCTAAAATTTTGGGAAAAATAATGCTCTAGTGGGTTATTATAGAACCCCTATAATTTCCATTAACCATTGGGATACCCTATCACACACCCCACAATTGGAGAGTTCTTTAGGAGAGAGAAAATGGTGATTAGGAGTGAGAAAAAATGGTGGAGTTTTATTAATGGTAATTAATTGATAATATTAATTATTGTTTTATAAATTGTAATTAAACAGAAATATACATTTTTCTAATAATAATTATTTCTTTAATTTTTTTAAATAGTAATTCATTGTAATAAATATCCGAAAATTATAAATACATTAATCATGATTTTTATCATTCTTTGAATGAACATTAATGTATAATTTTTTTTATTTTAATTTGTAAATTATTGAAAACCTTTAATCTAAAAAAATATGCTTGATTTTATTAGTTTATCTCATTAATTTATTTTAAATTAAAATCAATTATTTGATATCTTAAGTATATTATATGTATGTTATGTAAATTTAAATTGATAATATGGTATTTAAATTTACATTGATAAAGTATCTTGTAAAAATATACCTTAAGTATATTATATGTATGTTATTTAAATTTAAATTTAAAATTATTAATGACTTAGATAATATGTTATTTAAATTTAAATTGATAAAGTATCCTGTAAAAATATTATAATTAAGTATAAAAAAAATATTATATTTAATTAATGAATATTTTATTATAATTTTAATATATGAGGATAAGTTTTAGGGAATACTAATACTCACCACTAAAGCAACTTTTATTTTAGGGGGATAAAAGTGGGTTATTTTTTTGGGATTATTTGACAAAACCTCCTCATTACCAAGTGTCATTACAATGGACCTAATTTTATTTTACATTTTTAAGATAAATCCAAAACAACTTTTATTAGTTAAAAACACTTAATTATCACCATTATACCCCTAACTAACAAATAAGGTATCTTTAATTTTGATATTAAAAGATATATAATATATATTCCATATATATCTTAAGGGATTATTTGTCAAAACTCCCTGGTTACACATGTGTAGTTACAATGAGTCCAATTTTTTTTTATATATTTTAAGATAAATCCAAAACAATTTTAACTAATAAAAAATAATTAAGTTTCTCCATTATACCCTTATACTAATTTAATATCTTGTGTTTGGAATTACGTAATTTATTTAACCCTAGACTTTTCTGAAGACTACTA